GTGCACTCACTGCCAATGTTAGCACATACTAATGTGTAATCGTGTGTACATAAGACCACCTGTGTATGTGTGTGCACTCACTGCCAATGTTAGCATATACTAATGTGTAATCGTGTATACATAAGACCACCTGTGTATGTGTGCACTCACTACCAATGTTAGCATATACTAATGTGCACACGTGTGTACATGAGACCACACCTGTGTATGTCTGTGCACTCACTACCAATGTTAGCTAATACTAATGTGCACACAAGACCACACCTGCATATGTGTGTGCACTCACTGCCAATGTTAGCATATACTAATGTGCAAACGTGTGTGCATAAGACCACACCTGTGTATGTGTGTGCACTCACTACCAATGTTCGCATATACTAATGTGCAAACGTGTGAATAAGACCACACCTGTGTATGTGTGTGCACTCACTGCCAATGTTAGCATAAACTAATGTGGACACGTGTGCACATAAGACCATATCTGTGTATGTGTGTACACGCACTACCAATGTTAACAACAATTTGATAAATGTTGGGAGGGCAAAGTAACGCTTTACAGAATTCTTGTTAAGAAACATAGAAGAATTGATTATAGCATAGTAACAATGATCAAGGCCGGTCATTGTCCTTATTATAATAACTGAAGACTTACAAAGGCAAAATGACATGTGAACAGAGGCAGTCTGCACAGCTGATGAGGACACTCCCCTGCAGTTACAAACACACTGTCATGTGTCACTGAGAATCTCTTCCCACATTCAGTGCCGTGTTTCATGGTAGAGTCACTGATCAGTGTGGATGGAACATCCAGTTTCTGACACAACCTCTCAACTCTTGAGTTGTGATACGTGAGTGGAAGTAACAGCTTCCCCACGTTCCTCACACTCACAGCGACCTTCTCTTCAGTGAGCAGAGCTTGTCTATTGTAGTGTGATAAGCATCTAAACCCTCTGCTGCATTCATTACATCAATAAGGGTTCTTTCCTTTTTGGAATCATGGTAACTTTTGTGGAATCATGAGTAGTTCTTTACATTAATTTCACATTCCTCTCCACTGTGCATCCTTAAATATGAAATGAGGTCTGAGTAACAAACACACACTTTCCCAAGTTGTCTACATTCATAAGGCCTCTGCTAATTCACTATGAGTTCAGTTGTGTACTGAGGGATGGACAACTATGATTCGTTTCTTCATATTCCTTACATTCACAGTGAATTTCTCCACTATGATATATCACATGTACAGTGAGGGATGAGGCATAAACAAACACTTGTACACACTGTTGACATTCATATGGCCTCTTTCTAGTGTGGCTTCTTCTATGTCCAGTGAGGACTGAGGGCTGCCTGAACACTTTCCCACAGTATACACTCATTAAAGCGGGTCTCCATTGTGAGTCTACACATGTCTAATGTGGTGTAAGGAACCCTTAAATGTGTGAGGAATCCCACACTCCTTATATTCGTTAGGCCTCATCCCACTGTGAGTCTGCACATGTTTAGAGAGGGATGAGTACCTACCAAACATTTTCCACATAATTTACATTTATATGGCCTCTCTGCACTGTGGATTCTTCTATGTCTTGTGACATCTGAGTGGTAACGAAAGAATTTCCCACACTCCTTACAGTCATTGGCCTCTCGCCACTATGACTTCGCATATGTGCAGTGAGGGATGAGGAAGAAATAAAGACTTTTACACATTCCTAACATTCATAGGGCCTCTCTCCACTGTGGATTCTTCCATGTCTTGTGAGGTCTGACCAGTGAGTAAAGGATTTCCCACAATCCTTACATTCATAGGGCCTCTCTCCACTGTGGATTCTTCTATGTGTTCTGAGGCCTGACTGTTGAGTATAGGATTTCCCACACTCCTTACATTCATAGGGCCTCTCTCCACTGTGGATTCTTCCATGTCTTGTGAGGTCTGACCATTGAGTAAAGGCTTTCCCACATTCCTTACATTCATAGGGCCTCTCTCCACTGTGGATTCTTCTATGTGTTCTGAGGCCTGACCGTTGAGTAAAGGATTTCCCACACTCTTTACATTCATAGGGTCTCTCTCCACTGTGGATTCTTCTATGTACTGTGAGGCTTGACTTTTGAGTAAAGGATTTTCCACACTCCTTACATTCATATGGCCTCTCTCCACTATGAATTCTTCTATGTTTTTTGAGGGTTGACCTCTGTGTAAAGGATTTCCCACATTCCTTACATGCATAGGGCCTCTCTCCACTGTGGATTCTTCTATGTCTTGAGAGGACTGACCATACAATAAAGGATTTCCCACATTCCTTACATTCACAGGGCCTCTCTCCACTGTGGATTTTTCTATGTCTTGTGAGGTCTGAACATTCAATAAAGGATTTCCCACACTCCTTACATTCATAGGGCCTCTCTCCACTGTGGATTCTTCTATGTCTTGTGAGGGCTGACCATACAATAAAGGATTTCCCACACTCCTTACATTCATAGGGCCTCTCTCCACTGTGGATTCTTCTATGTGTTGTGAAGTTTGACCACTGAGCAAAGGATTTCCCACAGTCCTTACATTCATAGGGCCTCTCTCCACTATGGATTCTTCTATGTGTTGTGAGGTTTGACCTCTGAGTAAAGGATTTCGCACACTCCTTACATTCATAGGGCCGCTCTCCACTGTGGATTCTTCTATGTGCTCTGAGGCCTGACTGCCGAGTAAAGGATTTCGCACACTCCTTACATTCATAGGGCCTCTCTCCACTGTGTATTCTTCTATGTCTTGTGAGGTCTGACCATAGAGTAAAAGATTTCGCACACTCTTTACATTCATAGGGCCTCTCTCCACTGTGGATTCTTCTATGTGTTGTGAAGTTTGACCACTGAGCAAAGGATTTCCCACAGTCCTTACATTCATAGGGCCTCTCTCCACTGTGGATTCTTCTATGTGTTGTGAGGTTTGACCTCTGAGTAAAGGATTTCCCACACTCCTTACATTCATAGGGCCGCTCTCCACTGTGGATTCTTCTATGTGTTCTGAGGCCTGACCGCCGAGTAAAGGATTTCGCACACTCTTTACATTCATAGGGCCTCTCTCCACTGTGGATTCTTCTATGTGTTGTGAGGTTTGATCGCTGAGTAAAGGATTTCCCACATTCCTTACATTCATAGGGCTTCTTTCCTCTGTGGATTCGTCTATGTGTTCTGAGGTTTCTCGCTCGGAGAAAGGCTTTCCCACACTCCTTACATTCATAGGGCCTCTCTCCACTGTGGATTCTTCTATGTGCAGTCAGGACTGAGGAATCTCTAAAAGTTTCCCCACACTCGTTACATTCATAAGGCATCTTTCCACTGTGACTACTTACATGTAGAGTGAGGGAGGAAGCCTCGGGAATTGCTTTCTTACATTCAGAAGGCTTCTCTCGCTTATGAGAGTTATTGTTTAAAATGAGAGATGAAGGACTAGTATGCATTCTAAAACATTCTTTACAGTTGGACTGATGACCTTTCAAAGGTGTCCTAACTGGTGGTGAGAAACTACAGAAACTTTCCATCCACTTGCTGAATTCATGCCCTTCAATACTGGTGATTGCTGAGACAGGATTCTTGAGGGTCAATATACAAAGGAAGCCTTTCCCACATATTTTACATTTATGGGTGTTATTTCCATCCTGAGTTCTCACAGGTGTGGTCAGCTTAAAAGGACACCTGCAGTCTTCTCCACAGTCCGGACACTGACAGGTACTGCTTCCAGTGTGAGCTCTACCATGATTGTTCTCTAGGGAATGATCCAGGAAGGCTCCTCCATACTCACAGCATTCAAAAGGATCCACTTCTATGGGATCTATTTGGTGCACAGAAAGACCAAGAATCGGGTTGGAGGTTTCCCCACACTGGTTGCCTTCAGAACGTTCAGCCAGGTTCTCGATTGCACCAGTTCTGTTAAAAACAGGGAGTGTAAATGTAAAACAATGGTGTCCTCAGAAAACTACTCCACTGTCAACAAGGAGACAAGTAAAAATAGTCATTTATCTTGTTGGAAACAAATGTTGCATGACAGCATTACCAAACACAGTGAACATGCATGTTTTTCCCTGAATTGTCTCAAGAGTCATCTAGGATGACGACTACCATTTCCATCAATGTGTAACTCTTCCTGCTCATTATGTCCAAGTGAAACATGATTTACACATTTCGCTGACTTATACTCCCATCATTTTACAGCCAGGATTATACACATATACATATATACATGGGTCCTGATGAAGAATTAACACTAGGCGGAAAGCTAGATTTGAACCACAAAGTGGAATGACTTCACGGCATGTAACAATAGCTACTACTTGGAAAGTTAACAAAGGGTTGCTAAAAGTCAGAACTGACTCAGAAAACACAACACATATATATCAGCTGGCTTCAGGGATTCAAAACACTTTGGAAAGGCGCAACAGTTTCCAACATAAATGAGAAAAGTGTCCAGATTGCATAGCAATCAAAACTGTTGCTTACTAGAATTTGATCTGATGAAGAAACAAATAATCACTGGTA